GAAAAAAAAATTCAAAATTTAGCCAAAGCTAAAATCAAAATGTGAATTGAAAAAGAACCAAAAAAAAGCTAGTTAAACTTCAAAAACAACTAAAAAATCTTAAAATAGATACAAAGAAGCTTTTTATAAATTATTAGAATATAATTTTGCTTAGACAAACTACTCTTGTAAGAAGAAAATTACTTTTGTGACTAATCACATTTAGGTATCTAAAGCAGCAAAATAAGTTTGAAATTGGAAAAAGAAAACAGTTATATAGCTAGTTTAAATTAGTTTATATTTTTGTTGTAACATTATATTTGTTTTCTCTTAATAAATGAAGAGCAAGATCGTCTAAGTTAAAAAAAAATAATAAATCTTAATTACTAGTCAAACCTCTCTAAACCGATACTGTCAAAACTAATAACCTGTTAAAGCCGATTAAAAATTTTCTATTTTACTATATAAATTCTTTTTAAAACTGATAAGCCTCTCAAAACTGATTAAAATTTGGCCACCGGACATATCGGTTTGGAGAGGGTCAACCGTAAAATACTGGCATAGCTACTATTTAATAGGTAGTATGAGAACGCTAATAAAAAATTAGGTATATAATGCAAAAATCACTATTCCCTACAATATAAAGTATTTTGAATTTCTAATAAAAATTGTAGAGACAATCTTTACGATTCGAATTATAATAAAATTATTTTAATAAATATACTATAAATATTCTTATTAGTAATGGTGATTTTTATATTATATTTATTATAAAAATCTCCCCATTTGACGTTCTCATTTATTCGCGAATTATCAATTAACAAAATTTAAGTTTTAGATAAAATGTAGAATAATCGTATTTTTTTATTCAGCAAAATAATGTTATACATTATGTAAAACAAAGTAAATCAAATTTTTTAATAATATCGAAAAAATTTTTACGAAAAATCACCACGTCCCTACCCAGTAACTTCAGATATTTAAATGAATAATAGTAATCTAGTACTATCTCGTATTATATTTAGATAAGTCACGCGATAATTATAAATTTTGTATTATATATTACTGGAATCCGAATCCTGTCGTTCCCTCCGAAATTGCCAATAATAATTGTGATCTTAATTGCTCGTAATCTTCGTATTCAGGAATATCTAATTGATTAAAACTATATAAAATAAAGGAAATATGAATTAATAATTCTTAAATTCTTGCCATATTATAAAAAGATTATGAACTTACCATGTATGAGCAGAAGGAAGGCGGTCTGGACTTGAAAAATCTTTATGAATCTGAAACTTTTGCACTCCATGAACACCTTGCAAAGCCGAGAAGCCTTCCAATGGTACTTTAGATGTACCTGTGACGAATTGTAATAGTTTTGCCCTCTCTTCTTGATCAAAACTCCGTACAGCTCTCCAGAACCATTGTATTTGAGGTGATGATGATGTGTAGTTCTGATATTCTGTGTTGTTTTTCCAATCATCAATATCAATGTCAGGCATTCCAGATATAAGAAGTTCTAGTTCTTGCTCATTAAATATACTAATCAAATGCGCAGGAATAATTTCATGGAAGCCAGCAAGGAAGTGCTCTATTTGATCTTTTATCGCCAATGTAAGTCTTTGTTCTGTAACAAGCATAACATATTCTCGTTTATTTTCGTCCGTCACTGGAATATTCCTACCATTAGGTTTAAGATCAATAGTTTTTTCTTGACCAAAATCATCAGTTACAACGCTGAATGTTAAGTCAATAACGTTTGTTATATCATTATTCAACATCCAGACAAGACTATTATAATATTCTAAGTCAATGGCTTCGACATCACGATAATCAACAGGTTTTCCAAGAATATGTTTATAAAATGAACGAGTAAAGTAAGCATCTAAAAGTCTGCCATCATAAATTGCTTTACCAATGACACGACCAACAAACTTAAAGAATGATAAATGTTCTGGATTAGCACCTGACGCCCTGTTTGGCTGATAAGTTAATCTATCTGCCGCTGATGTTTTGAACAATGCGTAATTTTCGTTAAACATTTGTCTAGCAAGAACTTGGAACCATTCCCTCGTTACTCCACCGGCATCCACACCTTCTTCCTCGTAGAAACGAACACTAAGTTTACCATATTTAATTTCGTCCCCTGTTCTTCTTTGTAAGTTTTGGAAGGAATCTTCAAATACATATTGCCTTCGAACATTGAGTTGTAAAGTACCATAATGATCACGAGCGTTTGCTCGTTTATGAAGTTGTTGGTTGAAATAATTTCGTTTATTATCAAATTCAAGAATCTTTGGATTATGTACAAGTAATGAGAATGATCCGCTCATTAGTGATGGATTGTTTCGAACCATCGTATTAAGAATCTTTCGATGATCTTCAGTAAACGTGAAGAATAATTCTTCCATATTTTCTGATGATGTTTGTGGCTCGGGTAATGATGTCTTTTGAGAAGTAGAAGGCGCCATTCCCACATATTTACATACAACCATAAGTGACTCTATAAGTGGCAAAAGAACAGTTGCCACATGGATCATGTCGGGTTTTTCATGTATGGTGGTTAGACATTTACCGAGCTTTTTCCAAAGTTCTGTAAAATTGAGACTCTCATAAATCTTCATAACTTTTTCTTCATCTTGGGTTAGTTTAGAACCTCTACCACTGTCTAGTAATGTTCTTGGTGCAACAACATCAGCTTCGTCTGGATCTACTGTAGGGGCCAACGAAACTTGAGCGTTCGTTGAAGTGGTCGTTGATTGTTGTTTGCGAGAATACATGTAATCAATTGTTTTGAGAACACGTAACAATTTTGCTTGCTGCGATGACGACGGTGAAAATTTGGCTAGGGTAACACCTTGTACATCAACACCAGTGTCTGCCTTTTGTAATATTTGAGCCAATTCATCCAAATCATCAAGTATATCGTTTCCAAGTGACTGAGCACGATCGACTAATTCCGACGTAATAACATCGCGAGCTCCATTTAAAGTTGAAAGATGTTGAATAACTGAAAGAGTATATTTGAATGTGTTACTTGTACATTCACCCGCAGTAAGAACATTAACTACCAGGCGTAAGCAATAATCCGGTATAACTGGGGGTTTTAAAATAGGTTGCACTGATTCTGAAGGTGTCGAAGAAGAAGCTGTAGTTGGATTTCGAGAAGTTTCACTTGCAGGAGCACCTGATGTTGTGTTGTTATTGGTCTCCGAGCTTACATTGTTATTATGGTTCTGCGGTGAGCTATTGTTAGTTTCCAATGTTTGAGAATTATTATTGTTACTAGTATTATCTTGATTGTCGGATCCGACAGGTTGACTAGAATCATTTTCGGTATTAGTATTTTGTGTAGCAGAGCTATTGGTATTTTGTACCGCGGGACTGTCAACATTGTTATTTGACTGTTCACCAGAATCTCCGGTAACATTGTTAGAATCTGTCTTCGTCAATGTGGATAAAGGACGTAAAATGAAGGAAAGTAAATGCATTAACTGATCCATTAATGCAGTATTTTTAATAAATATTTGGCGATCAAGGAGACTTAGTAATATAACCACAGGATATTTGCTAAGCGCTTTTGTTTGCTTCTCTTTACCCTTTCGGCTATTGGTTCTTTTAAGGCCAATGTTATTATCATGTTCCATCAAGAAATAATTAACAGAAGCTTCATTGTAAGTTATAATATATGTTAATGCCTCTAAACATCGCTGAGCAATTAAATTTGGTACATTTTCTCCAGCAGCTTGAGTTATTTGCGCTAATGATGAATTTGGAAGACTTGATTGCCTTCTTGGTGCCCCTTTCAGTGTTCCTTTAGCCCTTAAAGACATTTGAGCAAAACTTTTATCGACTGCGGACACGTCTCCGCTACCATCATAAAGAACAGATAATAACATGGAAATAAGTTCACCGCGTGTCTTGCTATTTTGACAAAGATTAAGCAACAATTTATGTAATAAATTCTTATTGCCTAACGGTTGAGGGAGGAACAACAGTCTGACTAAAGTAGCTAATCCTGAGGTATCAACAAGTTTTACTGCATCGCGTTGGATTGAAGATTTTTTAGGAACTTGAACTGGAGGTGCAGTGCTACCTAGTGTTCTTGATCGTACTGCATTTGTATACCTACGACTAGCTCTTTCTCGAAGTGCGTTAGCCTCGGCAACTATTGATGGCGGCAATGATGCTAAAACCATCTCATCCTGCTCAAGAAGAACCGTTTGCCGTAATTGTGGATCTAATGAAGCAAAGAAACTTGCGGTATCCATTTCAGCAGCAACAGGTTCTGAAGTTCGTTGACGAATCATTCTTTCCTGCTCGAGTGCCTCTTCTTGTTGAATGATTTCTTCTCTGAGGTCATCAGGAAGGGCTGCAAGAAATTCGGAACTAATAGCGTCACCCGGTCCACTAGTAACTGGAGGTCTGCTGCGCCTTTCTGGCGGCAAATGCTGATTAAGTACTTCCTCCCTAAGCTCATCGGGTAACGCTTCAAGGAAAGTCGGATCTATGCCAGTATCAGTAATGTCCACAGGACGACCGTTAACTATAACTGTTGTTCTTGTTAATTGGCTTTCACTCGAACCTTCAACTGTATCTTCAGCTGTCTCTTGTGGCTGGCTAGCATCGGGCACGACTGAGGGTCCTTCCTCCATATTAGGATCAGTTGTAACTGGAGGTTCATCTTCCATCTCTATAGATTCACCAGACTGTTCTTGTTCCTGCTCGATTACTGGCGCATCCTCTTGCATGGGATCAAGAAGTTCTATTACTTCTGTAACTTCCGTAACTTCGACTATTTCGTCATTATTGTTTGTTGTCTCAGACATTGATTGTTCAATTATAGTTTCAGGTTGAGAAACAACTGTAGCGGCAGCAGTAGCAGCTTCAACTTCAGAACGAATTCTCAATTCTTCTTGCTCTTTTCTCAGACGTTCAGCTTCCTCTTCTGCTTTTATTTTTTCTTCTTCTTTAAGTCTCCTTTCTTCCTTTTCTCTTTCTTCCTTTTCCTTTCTCTTTTTTTCTTCTTCCAACGCAAAAGGAACCAATGCATTATAAACATGATTAACAAGTTTTGCGGCTTTTTCAGCTGCTGCACTTGCATACATCATACGAGCTTCATCGTACCATCGTTGTCCAGTTGAATGAGGTTTAAATTCTTGAACTGCAGTAATAGGATCACTTGGTGGTGTTGTATTCTGATTATCTTGTCCACTAGATATTGTTCTAGGAAAAACACGATCAACTTCAATTCCACTAACTAAGCCTGATGATCCTGTATTTAATTCAAGTCTATATGTAGATGAATGTCCTAAACCACGACTTCTAGTTAATAATTGTTCTAATAATTGAACTGCACCGCCGCCGATTAACTCTTCGATTGATTGTGTCCAATCGCCCAAGGGTCCATTACGAACACTTCGTCCCCTAGTAAGTTCAACACTAGCAACAGAAGGAACTGTTGGGGATCGATTAACAAGTAGAGGATGAGTGGTAACATCATCATTAGTACCAGGTAATGGTCTGCTGCGTCCCAATCCTGAAATATCTACGTCATCATTTGTTCCAAAATTAAAACCATAGCCTACAGGGTCACCAATAACATAATCAAGGCCTTCTGGAGGAACCTCAAGAATAGCTCGACGACCAGGCATGTGCCGATGGCGTCTGTTACCAAAACTAAACAAAGCGCGACCTGTTCTATTTGGAATACCAAATTCGTCATCATTCATAAAGTGCGTTCCAGGTTGATTCCAAGCCCAATTAAAGTTCAGGCGGTCGTCATAACCATCATCAATTACATCTCCACTATCTAATACAACATCATTTTCTTCAACGTCGTCAGCTTCGTCGTCATCATCTTCCTCCTCATCTTCATCGTCTTCATCATCATCTTCATCTAGCATAATGTCTCTGTCTGCACCATCGTCGTTGCCACCAAATCTTTCATGTCGGCGGTGTCTATGAAGTTGTCCCTCAGCATCAATAATTTCTTCAATATCACCACGTTCTATCATTACTTGATCATGAACATCCCACATTTCTTGATCGTCATTACTTCTAACATGATGGTGTCCTTCATCGTCACTATCATCTTCATTTTCTAAATGTTGATTCACTCCATGCTCTATTTCAGAATCATTATCATCGTTCCTTTCATTATCTAACACTGAGTGACCATGTATTGGTTGTCGAACTACTATTTCTACATCCATATCATCGCCGTTATCATCATCCCCCTCGTCTAAATCGTCGTCATTGCTAACATCGCTAAGATCACTACCAGTTCCTTCATCAAATTCACCATCATCATATCTTTGTTCGTCGGCTGACGAGTCTAAACTATCATCATCCATTTCATCACTATCCACTCTACCTTCTAGAGCCCCAAGCACAGAAGTTGCGTATAAATCTGGTGCGTCTTCGGTTTCTGGATTCA